TCTCTCTCATCTCTCTCATCTCTCTCATCTCTCTCATCTCTTTCTCATCTCTCTCATCTCTCTCTCCTCTCTCTCTCTCTCTCCTCTCTGTCTCTCGTCTTTCCGTCTCTCTTCTCTCTCTTCTCTCGCAGGAGGATCCGGGCAAAGAGCCATATATAAAGGACTCTTCACCCCTGCCTCCAAAAAGAGCGCCGTGTTTTTTCCTACCTCACTGCCCTCCACTTTCCCATTCTGGAGCGCTAGCTTTCGCCCCCCCCCTTGGCCTCAAGTATATATTATATAGCCTATATGTCACCCTAGGGTGAAGGCCTTCGCTCACCTACACGTGCAGCAACTGGCCAATGAAGCTTTCCTGAAATCGCCTGAAAACAACATCCTCTTCTGCCTCTTATGTGACAAGGTCGAGCTGAACGTTTGGGTCGACAACCATTCCCAACCTCCTTGGTGTACACGGGCTGTTTTGTTTGGTCAAGCTTGCTCGGACCTCAAGGCATTACTCGATCCAGCTTTGTGCAAGCTAGCAGCCAGGGGTGCCCGGAGAGTATGACTGGTCTGTGCAATTATACACAGCTAGAGGGGTGGAGACTTCGTCCAGTAGAAGAAGATCGCTGCATGCTTCATGGGGCAACACGATCAGAATGATTTGTCATCAAAGTGAACACATTGTCCAAGTGAACAGGATTCCAGGACTCGAAGCCCTGCTTGATTGGAAAATATGCCTAGCCTTGGTTGTCATGTTCAACTTGAACATATTTCACCATTCGTCCTGGAAGAGACAGCAGCGGCTGGGGCCATAGTTGGCTTCAAAACACTCTCGGCTGAGACCTCCCGGCTGCGCAATTTGTGGCGTCGCAACTGGGTGGAATCCCTCTCAAAGCTTCTTGGCCATGGTTGTTTAAGGTTTTGTTTTTTCTCCCCCTTTATGCTTTTCAAGAGAAGATTGCACGTGAAGCAGTCCTGGAACTGCAATGATGCCTCGAATCAGATTCATACATAGCACATTATCACAAAACTAAGTATTTCATGAACCTGCATGTGCAGACGTACGTGTCTTACTTGCAATATATTCATACTTGACGTGTGTGTTTGGATGGAGTTGTTGGGTTTCTTTCTGTGCTTGGCTGGATGTGATGGTTTGATGGTCGAGTCTTAGACCAAACATCCACAGATGGCATTGCTTTTTGAGGTATTTTAAAGCTGGACTTTTGGAGAATCTGGTCTTGGCCTCAATGCTGTTGTTCTAAGTGTTTGTGTGTGTGTGTTTTCAGGATGCTCCTTTCATTCTTTATGTTTGCTCGTCCTACTACAGCTCTATGTGGGCGCCACGACTCGAAGCTTCGAGTCGCAACCTCCAAGGTGCAATCCTTGCAGAAATGGACGGACAACCGCCCGGAAGAAGAGCGGGTGCCAGTCCAACCCGATATCGGCACGATAATGATCAAGGGGCGAAGGTATGTTCCCAAGGTTCTTACAAATTCATACACATGTCGATCCTCCTTTAAAGTCCTTCAGCTTTCCATGTTTGTCCTATATATTCCATAAGCACTGTTTGCATTATTTTTGCAAATTTCTTCTGACACTAACTGTTTGACAACACATATTTACTGTATGTATACATATATATATATATCTTTTGACACTAACTGTTTGACAACAAAAGTATATATAGTATATATATAGCTCTCTCTCTCTCTATATATATATATTTAAATATTGGTTTGTGCTGGCAGGAGTTGAAGTCGCCTCGACGCATTGACACATAGCCGTTTGAGGCTCCAACTTGCCTCCAGGCTACTCACGCGATAAGGAAAACCACTCTGATCCGCTTAAGGAAACTTGCAACAGAGATGCCATGTGCTCCCTGGAGAAGCTTGGCATTGTTGTCTCCATATCTTTGCTCCTTGGGCCGCATCACCAAGGATCCTCTCTGTGATTTGGTCGATTGAGTCGATCATGTTTGGCCAATTATTTGCATCACATGACCGGATGTACATACCAGGGACAAGGGTGCAACTACCAGCTTGTGCATGCTGGCACATTTTTTTGCAGTTGAGTTTGGTGTGCCATTGAGATCCTGCCAGATACTTGATACTTGTCGTATTGATGGCAATGACAAAGAGTAGTAGCCCGTCCTACCCCCACTCACAGTGGAGGAAATTATACATGGGGTTTGATTTGGGCCGTGCTGCCTTTGCAACTTAGGCAGTGCATCACCTGAGAGTTGCACGGCAGACGTTGTGAAAGCAGTTCGTTCAGCCGCGAGTCCCAAGAGTAATTGAGTTTTAGGGGCAGGAGAGGAGTCGAACCTGAAATCTAGATTAGTTTTTAATGTTGCAGTTTGTTGTTGTGACATGTTGTGACTGTCGTGCCAATCATAACCATAGTTCTTGCTAGTTTGTTGGCAGTAGAGTTCGCTATCCACTGAGCGCATGAATACTAGTTACTAGTTAGTAGTTGATTTGACATATTCACTTCGGGCACCAGGGGAGCCACTAAAAAAATTGTCGCCATTGCAGCAATTGAATGCTGCAGGCCCCCTCCTTGCTGACGGTGAGTCAAAATTTGCAGAGGACATGTGGTTGCTAAAGGGGAGTGCGTGCGACAGAGGCATCACAAGCCAGAGTGCTCGACCAGCAAGTTGCTTGTGACCAATTTTATGCATGCGTAGGAATGCGTGTTCCGGGCTTGCTCTTGAAACTACCGCCCTGGAGGAAAGCTCAGGGCCGGAATACAACAAATCAGCGACCCGGAGGAATTCAGGATTGGTGAGCACCTTATTGTCAAGGGCATGCTGCATCACAACTGACACATTTTTGGATTGTGGTTGGTGATTTGTGTACTACTGCATCACTGATGGCTCTTGAGCGGCGTCATGCAACACTGTAACACAACTCACTGGTGGAAGCTTTCATTGGGCATTTTCGACTTAGGAAACGGGCTGAGCCAAGTGACGACTTGGTCACTTGCCTAGATTTGGCTGACACCCTTTGGGCATTCTCGCATGCGATTTTGCTAATCATGTGCTTGGTACTTGATTTATCCTAGAATAGCCGCGTGGTGACAAGTGATATGTGCATTTTGCACCTACAGTATCTCAAGTGTAAGATCTTTCGGCGTGAGGACCATAGCCCGAACCTGAGGCTGCTACGCTGGAAGATGCGCTGCAGTGGGAAATCCGCCAAATCGAGAAATCCATGGGAGAACAAGGTGGCGTGAATGCGCAAGTCCCGCAAATGACAGGATGACCATGACCGAACCATTGGACCAAGTCAAATGTACCTTCGATTTCGGACTTATACGATCTTATACGTCCATTTGAATTTTGCCCATACTTGACACGGCAAGTGACATGTCCGAAACTAATCTATAAACTCATTAGTTCCAAATGTGACAGCTGGGAGAGTGTGCATTGCCCAGAGAAGTCGAGGCGACAGGTTGCAGGCGGCGGGATGTGTCGCTGACAAACCAAGGAGAACAGCAACCCAGCAGAGTCGGAGCCTTGAGAGCTGGTGGAAATGGGGCCTTAAAAAACATGTCGTACAACGCATGTCGTGAAATTGTCGTGAAAACTGTTGGTTGGACACATTCTAGAATATCTCGAAGTATGCAGGGCATGGGGGCTTCAAGCATCTTCAAGCGGCACAATTTCCAGAACAAACAGTGTTGATACATACTCGGTATTGGCCAAGGTGATGGGTGTTGTCCTCAATGGCAAAGATGATATTCGCATGTTGCGCGGTGCTCTCTCCATTGGATTCTTCGGCGTCGGTCTGCTTTTTTCAGTGCCCATGACACGCGCTCGGACATGACACGCGTCAGAGTAGATGCATCAAATCAAGGTAAAGTACTGTTTCAGTGATTAAGAGGTATTTTGCTTGTGGCGGAAGTTGGTGCCATGGGTTTACATTCGAGAGGTTCCAAGCTCAGTTGGAAACAGCAGATGGTGTGGCCAAGCTAATCTCAAAACTCTGCAGAGGCTTTGCAATCAGGTTGGCATCAGCCGAAAGAACGGGTTTTGTATGTATATTATATATATATATATTTATTAAATAGATTGATTTAGAATGACTCTTACAAAGAGGTATTCAGAGTCTTCACCTTGCAATGTTTTGTGCCTATACTGCTGTGCAAGTGAAAGGCACTGGATTCCCACTTTCTCCCGGTCTTACAGTATTGTTCACAGTATTGTTTGTTTTGAAAGCTGATTCGCTGAGCAAACGGGCTCGTGCTATCCAGTGGAACATTCAACACGGTTGTGCAGGCTGACTTGGAGCTGGCTCCCATAGCTTCAGATGTATCCCCGGGCACGGCCGCGAGGTCGGTGTACACGGCAGAATACTGTTGAACTCGGTCGGCGCGCGCAGTTAGCTTTGCCAATGTTGATTGACCTTGCGCCACAGGCATTTCGCAGATCCGTGCCTTTCTCGCGCATTTTAGTACTAGTGAGATGAATAATGCATGTTTTGCATTCCACTTTGGGATTCTGCCAGATGCAAGATATGACGTCTTAAGATGTCTTGAAATTGAATGGAGCTTGTTCGTGGAAGCTACCTGCAGCGTAGGGAGAGAGAGTTCAACTGCCCTTGGCACTACTGCCTTACTCAAAGGCACATGTTCCATCACGTTGCAGATTATGGGTTCAACGAAGGGCATACGATGTTTGTTGGCGATCTTGGCTGGATTTACTTGAGGGGCGTGTGCAAACTAAGGCATGTGACCCTTTCGATTGGATCAAGAAAGTGCGGCAAACTACACCGGAAGACGAGGCCAAAGGCTTCAATTCTTTTGTTCAGAGGCTTGTTTGGCCTGCAATGCTGGCTAATATTATATCATTCATTCATGTTCATGTTCTTTCGAGGAGTTCAATACGTATATACATAAAACCTGTTGTGTTATTTTTTCTCTGGGACTCTTGATTCAACTTAACTCATTGAGCCATGCGATTTGACTCAGATCAGCGCAGCTGGCTTGGATGGATGGGCATTTCTGGAATTTCGCCGCCTCATTTGGAGAATATTTTTTGTCATAGGCGGGTGCTTGCCGTGTTGCTTTTTTTAGTAATCTATGAGCCTGAAGTGGTCAGGCTCTGTGCTGTCCGTCATCTTACTTCCGATGCATTACCAGGCTGAGTCGGTGTTTTGCTGATGTCGTGGCTTTCCCATAGTGAAATGTGATCAAGGGAAGATAACTTATTTTTGCTTAACTTTTCCTCAACTTTCTTTTTGGAGAAATGAGAGGCAAAGGCCGTGAGCGTTGACTGATGCAGTCTCAGCTGTTTGCTTCAGCCCTACGTGCTGGGCAGGCGCACAAAAATTCCAAGATGCTGGACATGTTGAGCACCTTCGACATTGGAAGGGATCCTTTGCCGGATTGGATGCTATGGGCTGGCATCTTAGAATGCGAGTCCGGCTTTGGTGAAAAGCGCGCACTAGACAGTGATTCTAGCATATTCTAGCTAATTATAGAATGTAGAAGGATTTGGTCCATGACTTGGAAGGACAATGGTATGGGATGAGGTCCATGCAATTATGGTGTGGTTTGTGGTGAGCGCGTCCAGTTGGACAATTGCAGTTGCACAGGCGCCAAGGGCGCAAAGGGGAAGGGACGCCGGCGACCCGTGGAAATTTTGTCGCCTGTTTGAATAGTTCAATCCTATGATGGCCGGTCTCTCCTTGGCCAATTATCTAACCAGGAAGAACCACCACATGGCAATATCCAGCAAATTGTAATTCAGCCAAAGTTGTCTTATGTTGTCTTGCTCAAGTGCATTTGAAGTCATTGAAGCAGCGGCATTCCTGAGTTCACAAGGTTGGCGCACGTCTTTCCGCTGTGGTTCAATAATGTTCAATCGTGTTGCAAGATTTTGCAAGGTTGCCACCTAACTACCAGGTTACGACGTCGCCTGGCGCCTGTGGGTGGGAGACGAGAGTGTGACTGAAACCCAGTCAGGAGGACAGTCACAAGAAAAAGTCCAAAAAATAGGGTCGTCAAGTAGGACGCTAGTTTCGGATGTTCGTCAAGTACGAATCAAGGACTTGTTCACATCAAGTACGTCTCAAATATCTTGACATGGAAGTCGCAAGCAATGGCCTTCCTGCTCGCTGCAGCTTCACGTTCCGACAAGACCCGCAGAAGTTGTCAGCGACCTCTGTAAGACACTCCCTGCACATGTGACCCAGACGAAGCAGCCACCAAAGACGGCAACGTCACTTGTTCGTAGGCAGCCAAGGATGGAAACCGCCAAGGAGCCCGATCACCATAGTCGAACACAGTGCCCAACTCATGGCGCCGCTGAGAACTGTTGCCTTCTCATTGAATACAGCTGCTTCCAGCATTCGTGCTTCCTCAAGGCCTAACTTGTGGATCGCCTCCAGCGCTCGATTGGTCAGCATATCGATCTTGACTGCTCGAGTCTTCATATCAGCTAGAGCAAGAACCTTTGCACAAAAGGTCTGTAAGCAGTCCTGATTCGGAAAAAGCGGTACGTGGAGTAAAGTAAAGGTAATGATCTCAGGCGAAGTGCTTCGCAGCAGCGGAAGGTAGGTAAGTCAAGTGCACCCAGTCGTCTTGCGAGCAACGCAGCCTTCGAGCCTTCTTCCAACTCGACCATGTCCCCAGCACTTGCATCCTCACCTTTCTCGACTGCTCCATCGTCCTCGACACACTCAGGCCTTCAGTGTCCACCAGAACAATAAAAAACGTTGCGCTATAAACTTTAGCCTGCCAGGTGTATAGCCCGGATGAGGGGAACAAAACATGGAAATCTAAGTAAGCATGCTGCTTGTTGCTCCAAGGCACGAGTCGGTGACAATAGGGGAATGTAGTTGCAGCTCCAAGCGCGTCCAAGCGGTCACTCCGCACTGACAGCGGCGTGCATTGCTTCACCGCAGCCTGGGCTCTTTGCGGGGTTCGTGAACGCCATCTGTGCGGTAAAGTGCGTGATTCCTGCAAAAGCCCTGCAATGACCAGGTGAAATGAAGACCCTCAGCGCGACGGTACTAGCAGGGCAAAGCGTTGTTCTTTGATGTTTTGAGGATCACGTTGGATCCTTGCTCTCTCTTTCTGGCCCAAGCAGGATTTGGACGTAACCATCTTCACTTCCCCCTCTAAAGGTATGCAACTAGCAAATCAATGCAAATCAGAATAGCTTGCCTGCAAACGTTCAATCACCAGTCCGTTGCAGATCTGCCCCATAACGACCAGTGTCCCAAACCCTCTGATTCGTGGTCAATAGTAACGCAAATTCCCCCCCCACCCATGGTAAAATATGGTAAAATCATTGGCATGAACGTCTCCTGGAGCCTATGGCTGATATGTAAAAACACATAAGAATACCAATATAGCAGGTTTCGACATATCAGCCACCAAGCGCCAGGAGACGTCATTGGCAACTACCAGGTTTGTTTGGTACTTGAAAATTCACAAGTAGCAGGTGTTCTTACATGGGTTGGGAGGATGGGAAGATGATTTTTTTTCTTCCAGGGCCTCCAACTGTTGCACACTGGATGGGTGTTGGAGCAGTTCTAATTGCACATTCAACGGCGCAGTGTGCAGGAGCATTTTACAGAGAAACGGTACCAGTGGTTGAAGGACATTCCCTTCCCTCGAGCGAACACAGTTCTGGTAAGGACGCCGACGTGGGGGAATCGTGTGGTGAGATGTGTCCAGCAAAGGACTTAGTAGTAACAAGAAACTGCTAGGAACAAGGGCATCGCTACTTACTACCAGTAGCATTCTTGCTACCAGCAAAGAGAAGCTGCTAGTAGCGAATTTGCATGCGGTACCAGTGTGGAGAACAGGGTCATTGATGTGAACATGTCCATGCTGCCAAGGTTGGTTGCGAGCGGCTAGTACATCGCACATTCTCGCAACAATTTTTGTTCATTTTTCTCACCAGCCCGGCTAGATACCGTTGAACAGTGTAGCAGTGACAGATGATGGTTGTATGCTGAACGTATGCTGATCCAGGTGTATCCAGGTGTATTGAATTGAGCACGAAGAAACAAAACAAATTGCCATCCCTTGCCTTCTTGTTTTCTTCTTCGTTTTTGCAGGAACATTCCGCCGATGTATCGCTCCGACAGTGCTTTGCAGCAGTATTTCTCGAATGTGTTCAACGACGATGTCATCGAGCGGGCTTATGTGGTGCGGCGTACAGGTGGGTCAATGGCTTATGAGTGTCTCCATTAGCTTCTTTGTTTGATGTTTGATGTTTTGCATATGTTTCCAGATGTTTCCCTGCCTTTAGTGGCTCGGTTGGAATCTCAAAGGCTAACCGCCGTTTCATTCATGGTAGCCCTGAACATCCCAGAACGCTTGCTCGACTTATTTCACAAAGACTGCGGTTGTGGCGGGGATGAATTCTGCAAGAAACAAGACTAGCCGCTATAGTTGTAGAAGTAGCCGCAGCTTTGGAAAGAAGAACACTAGGAGTAATAGAGTCATAGCTGCGGTGGCGGTGAATGTGGTTGCTTTATATAAAGCAGGCAGGTGATTGTGGCATATTGTGGAAGCTGTTGCATTTATGATTGCTGTTGTCGTTGATAGAGTTCGCATGACATTGCGCAGTGCTCAATGACTAGTGGTGGCTGATCACACGAACAGGCAAGCAAAGGTAATCAGTTGTGCTTGCTCAGACCACGTGACCTCCATTCAAGAGTTGCTGTTGTGATTTGACCGCGCCGAGCGGACAGGCCGCTTGTCTCACCAGGCCTGCTCAGCGTCCGGGGCCGCTATTATCGCTATTGTCAGAACACGAGGAAAGTCGTGCATGCATTTGTGCCAACATTTGTGCCAAGTTACATGATTGCAAGTGGCCATTTTTGTTTGGTGACGGACAGGGACGAGGAGTCGTCCCACAAGAGACTAGAAATCAAAACTGTTTGGTTTATTATTTAAGTTATTTATAGTTATTTGCTTTTGATGACTGACTGTGTTTGGGCAATCCTGCAGGTAGCCGCCTTGAGGGAAGCCAGACTCCAGGTGGTGCACGCCAAGCAGCATTGGGAGGCTAGGTTCACCCTTAAGAGGGGTCAATGCAATCACCACGCGTGGTGATCAATGGGCTTCAGTCACATGCAAGCTCAGACCCTTGTTCGAGCGTTCTTCCGGTCTCAAGTCCCAAAATTGGCCTCACTCTGCTTGATAAGCCTCACTCTTACAATCACGATGCATGAGGATGCTGGATCTCCAGAAGGCAACGAACCGGAGAAGGTCAATTTGATTAGATGTCAAAAGTGCCCTGGCTGAACCTGGTTTGTCACAAGCTGATTCGACTAATGAATTGAATCATATTCAATCTGCCATTTACTTTAGAAAGTCATCAGCAGGGCTTGCACACACAATTGCCCTTATGGCTTGCAGCACAGCCTTGGATCGTTGTCCCCAACAAATATTAGAACAGGTGCTTTTGGGAGATAATGTTGGTGCAACACATGCAAAATATATCTGAAAATACCGTAAGCCTGTCGACAGGCGGGTAATGAACGTTCATGCTTTCGGTAGTGCACTGACTTGAGGCGTGTCAAGCTCCTCACGGAAGAAGTCGCTTCAGCGCAAAGACGTGTTAAAGATGCTGTTGCTCGAGGCCATGCAAAAGACATGCGGCATTGGAACACCTTCTTCATCCGTTTTCACCGGTGAGTTTGAGGTCAAGAAGTGTGCATGTCACATGTCTTAAATAACAAATTTGTTGTGAATAGTAATGTCAAGGAGAGTGTAGAGTAGCATAGGACATGAACATCTAGCCAGTTCAACAAGGCAGAAAGACGGATTTGTATTTCCAAAAAGCACGATGCTGATAATCGTGGGCTTGCACACTAGTAAATTTTTGCAATTCCTTGCCTTCAAAAAGGGGCAAGAGGGGGGGCACCTGCTAGATACTGTGTTGGTATGAAGGTGTAGGTGGAGCATTCCTACGAAATGGGACTCAAGGAGACGCAGCAGTTTTTAGACGAGCTGAAGTGCTGGGGTCCTTGAGATGGAACAGAGATTGCGACCACTTAGCGAAACTGGTTTTCATTGATGCCC